CCTTCTTGTTTATTCTGAGGGAAGATCAAACGAAGGACTGGACAATTTTCCATATGATTGGGAGGTTTGGTCTGGAGCCACGCACATGCTGGAACCTGAAGGATAAATTTGTTTATATTTTCTATTTTATTTATGAACAGACTAGTCAAACATGTTTCTATAAGATTGGATGGTCCAACTATAGCTTATCACCAATTGAAGAGTGTATGAATTAAGAATAAACTTATGGTAAGAAGGGTCAGATTGAACCTTGATCTAAAATGATCGGTTCAGTCATATGCTACCTTAAAAGACTAAGTGCAGATAATATATATAACCTTGATACTTTACACAGTTCAAGGCGACTAGGTTGGATAGCTTGGTCATATGCACAAGGAAGAGTAAAGTTGTGGTGCCCTGTGTTTTTGTATATCCAATGGCTAAGCTAGACAGGTTTCCATAAGAATGGATGATCTAGCTTTACGCCTTATGTAAGTTGGGTATAAAGGACAAATCATTAAAAGACTATGAACTATTGTTTGACAAGGTTGACGTTTTGGGTTGGTGAGAGTAGTTACCATTGTGGTTTGGTCTTGCCTGTGGCTGAGTGAAATCACTACTTAGTCTAAGTTTTAGTTCGATAGGTAGTCGTTGTAGATGTTCGTCATGTGTTAGAGTTATATGAGTTAGTTTAATTTTTGCATTTGGAAGAATACCTCTCTGGCTAATAGCAACAGTTGGAGGAATTCTTGTTTTAACTGTAGTAGGAATTTTTTTCTATGGATCTTACTCTGGGTTAGGATCATCTCTTTAATTAATCAAAAATACTCAATCAATTAGAATCTTATCAATTTATTATATTCTCTATTTCATCAAATTCATTGAATAGAAAACAAATATACAACATATATATATAGAGAGAGGAACTAGAGGAAAGAACGAAATTTGTATCTTATATTGATTGTTTTTATGGTCTATTATTGATGAGTATTCTATTAGAATTAGTATTTTATTCTATGTATTATTGTATGATAATTATTATAGATTCTATTTATTATGTAATTTTAGAATTATTAATTTTTTATAGGATATTATTTGTATCAATAAACTAATTAGAATAAGTAAGTAGTTACCATTGTGGTTTGGTCTTGCCTGTGGCTGAGTGAAATCACTACTTAGTCTGAGTTTTAGTTCGATAGGTAGTCGTTGTAGATGTTCGTCATGTGTTAGAGTTATATGATTTAGTTTAATTTTTGCATTTTTTTAGTTGAACTAACTTTTTTTTTTACTTAGGTCAATTCTCACATTTTATGGGATCATTTGTTATACTTGGCTTTGTATAAATCTTTGTAAGCTACTTTCTCTACGGGAAGCGCTGCCGAAATTTCTACAAATCTAAGGAGTTCGTCAAATCTGATTTTCAAAGTTTAATTTTTAATCTAAAGTTTATAGCTGGCTTAGTAAAAATCTGGAAAACCATTTTTTTTAGGGAAAGTGTTGCCCAAATTTTTACTAATTCAAGGAGTTAGAAAAAATTTGACTTTGGGAAGTCATGATTATTTTCAGATTCAGTATTTAACTTTGTATAAATTTAGGAAAGCTACTTTCTCTACGGTAAGCGCTACCGAAATTTCTACAAATCTAAAAAGTTAGTTAAATTTTGTCTTGATAGAACTCAAGTTTTATGTTCGAGTTCATATCTGACTTAGCATGAATCTGGAAAGTCTACTTTTCTAAAGGAGATGCTGCCCAAATTTTGACTAATTTAGAGAGTTAGCTAAAAATGACTTTCGAGAGTCAGAGATTATATCAATTTTCATATTGGAGCTAGTATAAATTATGAAAAGACACTTTTCCTACGGAAAGCGTCGCCGAAATTTTCCTAGTTTAAAGGAGTTAGATCATATTTGGACAAGCGGCGATTCAGACGAATTACTCTGTATAGAGAAAGTTTTGTCATATGTCTACCTTTCTTTGGACAAAGTCTTAAAGGTAGACTTTGACTTAAATATCAGAAGAATTTCGAGTGAGAACGTGATATGGAGGTTATTCCCCATACACTGATAGTTTAACCTTGGGCATTGACCTGTCTTGTGTTATAGGTCTTCTTGATCGTTTTTTATTCAAGATTTAAACCAGTTTCAACTTAATCCCACGAGAATAATCTTTTGTTGTTACTGATAACAGTTCGGTTGGTTGATCGTCGACTTATCGACTCACGACACAACTTTGTTCATACCTGTACTCAACTTGATGCCTTAGCCATGAGATTTGATATGTTTCATTGAGACTTTTAACCGAACTTCTTTTAATAACCATTTTAAAGAACCGATGAAATTTTATGGAAAGTTGGACAATGACTGGGGCTTGATTATGTGAGGCATGGTGTGATTTACGGGAAACAGTAAAATTGATCACATTGGTATATGACAATGTGAAGTTCGTTTGTGCATGTGTTATATGCAGGTTAGTGTCTTGGAACCTTTGTACGAGTCTTACTCTGGAGGCAGTGACAATGACAACCATGTGTCGCACCATCTGCATACCTGATGGATTTATGTTTACCTTTCTTTATTTTTATATCGAGTTCTGAATTGATATATGGGTATTGGGATGATTGATTATTTCTTTGATTGATTTTGCTTGTTAACTTTCATAGTTGGACGTTGATGATTGTGACAGCCATCAAAGTCAAACCCCTTGATCCCTCTTCAGACCCTGGATGATGGAGCTTGTCTCCAAGGCCTCGAGAGACGACTGCCACCACAGGTATAAACCTGTGTACCACCCACTCTTCACAGGGTACAGAAGAGGGTGTGGTGATAAACCGCCTTGGCGATTGTCTAACGTAAAGAGATTAACCCCTCAAGGCGCATGTTAGCCGACACTTGAGTGTCGAACGCGACCCTCGAGGTTATTGAGGATCGTGTGATTATGGGTACTACATAGTACGTCATCATTGTGACCGCTTGCGTGAGCAGTCATTGCTAGTCGATATGAGAAGGCCTTGCGTCCGCGCGGTGTCGGCGCGAATACCCTTACAAGGGTATCCGCCTTGGTTTTTGCAAGTGACAGAAAGACCATTGGTTGAGGCTTTGTGAGTGTTCAATTGGTTACTTGTGTATGGGCTGGAGTTGTCTGAGTAGATAGGGTGGGTGGGCGCGCAACTTTAAGGCGCGCGTGTGATTTTACCCTTTTGTTCGTATTGCGGGCCGGCTTGACTTAGCATTCTTGATTAGACCAAGGGTTAGTAGATTGACCCTCGTTTGCCGTGCTTGACCGGCGGCAGGTCTGATATGTGGGGTGGTACGTGGGGCGGCATGAATACTTAGCGGCCGCACGCCTGTTTGTAGGAGGAGGTGAGGCTCCAGGCATGTCCCAGCATTAAGCGCTGGACCACACCATCTTATATGGGGTTCAGCGCCTATTAATCCCAGGTTTGGGCTTAGCCCTATAGGTTACAGCGTCGGGTTGCTGATACGGAGGTTCGGGGATCGAGGCCAGCAGGCTGCGGAGCGGGAGCAGCGGAGCAGCGAGGAGAAAGCTGAGGGGTTGAGGGTCTCGCAGGACTATCCCCCTCGGTTTTGCTGGGGGAATCCGGATGCGGGCCCGCTCGTTGCAAATTCCTAATTGATTTTAAAAACTTTTATTATTTTTCTTTTCCTTCTTGGGGGCCGGTACTGATTCCGAGGCCGGCTGCGAACCCAAGAGCCTAGCCCAGTGGGTATATCCGAGAACTGCTGAGGCACGGACCGGTGTTGGAACCCGGATGACGAAACCAGACGAGCAACTAAAATATTCTGAATTGCATGGGGCCGGACAATTCGATGGCAGCCCTTAAGGCTGCCGTGCGCTTGGTCCTTCGGGACATCCGTTAAAATTGGAACGCTATAGTGGAGATTAGCTTGGCCCAGGCGCAGAGATGACACATATAAATTGGGAAAAGGGCCGTGCAGAGTTTGGCTTTCAATGATCGGAGTCGTCGCTATCGAGTCAGCAACTGCCGAAGTATTATGTTAGTAGGGGCAGCCACGGGTAGGGGCTGCGAACCTGGACCAGGATAGGGCCGAATGCGTATGAGAGGTGAAGAGGGCGATGGCAGAGTGGTACGTGTGGTAGGATGCATATGAAACACAACTTGTAGTAGAAGTTACGGCAGCACAGTGTGTCAGCCGGTCGCCGGACCCACAAGGCAGTGCACGTCGGAGGCAGAAAGCGAGCGGAGCCAGAAAAATAACGCAGCAGGCGGTAAAAGAAGATTCGGGGAGTGAGGTGGGTGAACCCGAACGGCTAAGCACACTGTGTGCATTCGAGTAGAGATGGCGGAATAGCGGGTTCGGGCGCAGCGAAGGGAGGATAGCGCACTCGATAGTTCGTGGGTTTTGATGAGGGAAAGGGCGGTCCTAAGGGATTTAGGTATGGCGAGTGGCGTGGTGTGGTCAGTTGTAGTGTTAGGATAGCGGTTAGTTTGGTATGAGCGCCGGGAGCCGCGAGGAGCTACTGGGGAGGCAAGAACGAGAAAGATAAGATAAGCATGACTCGCTTGTCTCTTGATGAGGACATATGGCTAACGATGGGATTCTGGAGTTTCTAGGCTGGGCGAATTCGAATCTATTGTTAGTTTTAGTATAGAGTTAGTAAAGAAGAGGTTGATACTGAGGATTACGACGTGGTAAAGATTGGATAGTGAAGCTGGATTCGAAGGAGAGGTTGTAGTTTTTTGCTAGGGAGAATCTAGTTGCGCCCTGAGAGAGGGGGAAGAGACCGAACCTACCTGCCTGTCAGGAGCTTCGTCCGTAAAGAGGGGTTGCGGCTACTATTGGGAAGGAGTGAATCTTCCCGGGGGTACAACGGAAGAGTCGTTTCCGTTTCACATGCCCGGTTCGCGGCAGGGAGGGCCTTCTGCAATCAGACTCGTTCTCAAACACCCTTTTCATGCATGTAAACAGCAGCGCAGCATACTGGCGACATGCGCCCACTCAAAACTCAGAGATATGGCTTTCAGATACGAGTTCACTCTCAATTGGCTATGGCGACTTGAGCGCCCAAACATCTCACTGTTCACATACACTGGATCACCCTGGATATCCCACACGCATCACTCTAACACTCGAACACACACACACACTCACTACTAACTACAGCTATGGCAGCTATGTCTGCCTCTAACCTATTGCTATGCTAACTCCTCCTCTCTTGCCCACTGCGTCCTCCGGGCTCATCTGCAGACCTCCTTGCACAAGTCGCTGTGGCA